ATTATTTTACACCACATATATAAACTGAACAAGATGAATAATAACAGATAATTGGATAATAGGTATAAGCCGGATCATAGCCTGGCTCGCATTATGTGCACTGAAGAACTGATTGCGATCTTAAAACAACCACTCGGCAGAGACTGAACGGTCTCCGCGGTAGCTTAGAGGTAGAGCCCCAACCGGTAATTGGTACGTCGCGGGTTCAATTCCCGTTCGCGGAGAAAAGTTTTGCTCGAGTGGTGTACCAGTAACTTAAACGGCTAAGTGAGACATATCATCTCAGCAGTGCTATACACTGACTGAAAAAAAACTTCAACAAACTTTGCCACATAACACCAGGCCAACAACCATCGTTGTGGGGCCAGCCAACCAAACTTTGCCGATCTCTGAGTCTTTTTGGAAGATCGCAAATACAGTGAAAACGAGTCCAGTTGTGATAAGACAAAACGAAACACATCCATAGCTGTTAAAAGAAGTAAAATGAGCTCTTATCAAAAATTTATCCATTCTGTACGATATTTAATTGAAAAGCATAATTATGATTTCACAATCTTCGAACGTACACAAGCAGAAGTGAACAACTAATGCAGAAAAAATAAGTTTCTGCACTAGAATTGATGATCCTTTATTTAAAAAAAGAGGACTTCATTTGATATCCATTATCATTTGACATTTCCAAAATTATAATGGACGGTCATTACAAGCTTTCGAAACGCGTAAAGCGAACCGACTGGAATGGTGGTGCAAAATGTGAAATTCAAAAAATGAAACCTGATTAAGTGAATTTGATGCCGATGAATGTTGGGACAGCAACAACAGCAACACATCTAAAAGCAAGGTGAATAACACGGCACCTCACGTCTCGTGCTTTGTCCGTCTGTCGTAAATGACCGTTTGACAGATAACTTGTTGGTCAAGCAGCCGGTTGGCAGCCAGTATTTGTTATGTGGTTAGGTAGTGCTGTTACTCTCGATAGATTTGGTTGACCTTGCAAAGTGCAAGCGATAGTAGTTAGCAACAATAACAATGAGAGGGAGGGCGACTTGAAGTGATCAACTCACCATGCACGTTTCGGACACTCACTTTCACCCATCAAAAATTGTTTTTGACAACAGTGCAAGAATAAGTCGGTACTACTGCATTTTAGCATTTTCTTCACAGCTGACTGACTGATAACTACAGGCTTGCTACCTAAACAATCAACAATTTATAATCAAATTGAAGTGATCGAATGAAGAACATAAATTCGATACGAATCAAAGAAAATGATGGAAAAACGACTGTTGATGAGGAATCTCTCAGAAAAATCATTAACATTCGTAAATTATTCGAATTTATCATAATAAGAAGCTACAAGGACTTGATCTTACTTGTTGTCCACATAGTACTGTATCATGTTTGTAACAGAACAATGGTTCTCACAATCTTGCGCTCCTTACTCCCTCTTGGCAGTATGGTAGATCGTCATTCCCTCCCCTGTCCAATAATCCATGCGACCGCGACTTCCACTCTTTTTTTGACAATATATTACATTTTATTTAAAAAGCGTAGAAGAATCTGGGAATTGACAAATGATTAAGAAGTTTACTGGCGACGATTCGGCGATTTTGTCAAAGAAATCAACTGCTTGTGATCAATGAGAGCATCATCGAACAGCTATGGGAGAATAAAGATATGATTTGCCAGTCTCCTCACCTTCCCCTCCCTTCCCCTCTTGCTATGAGAACCACTAATCTAGAACCTATGTTATGAACAAGACGTAATGTTGAAATCTTTGGTGTTCCTGATTTATGTTCTAAAATATTACTATATGCATATCACTGTGAAAATTTTTGAACATATTTGGAAAAGCGTATTACGATGATATTGCATATAAAGGATGAGGAAGAGCGTTATGAGTGAGTTGTAGCTGTTGTTAAAGCAATAAGAGTATAACTCAATCATCACGCAATCTAAATTTTTAGCAACATCCAAAGAACACAATAACAAATCTCAACGATAAAAACCACAAATAAATTCCAAGTGAACACCACAAATCATTTGCTTATCATCATCATCATTACGGATGTTCGATAATCGAATTGTATTAGCACAAAATGGAGCATAGATGTAAACGTGAAAAAAGTATCATCGATGGTGCTGTTGTGTAGCGTTAGCAATAGAACATTAGTCGTTCCATGAGCTGGCCGATTCAGTTTCCCTGGTAGCGATAGGTTTTTCTCACGCAGTATAGCTGACGAGCAACACACTGCGGCACATTGAAGAACAGGCGTGAAGAACGATGATCATTCGAATTCAAGTGACTTCAAACAACCCCATCGAATTCATCACGATTTCAGAAGTTCAGTGGCACTCGAACAACAATGTTACCTACCATTGTACTTGTTCATCAACTACAAACCATCCACAGAAGCAAATGAACCCTTTCATATACAACTTATTTATGCAGCAGTGTCTAAGGTCGTACTTCTTAGAAGAGCTCCAATGAGGCAGCTAGTCAGTGTTCACTGAATAATAGATGGATGCAGGTTTGAAAACGAACATGGCAAGCTTACTGTTAAGTGTCTTCTGATACGGATGCTCTAGCTTCTTCTGATGGCGGTCATAATAGTGCGATGAACGAAAACAGTGGAAGGTTGTGTATAGTGGGAGAACAATGGATCGACATATTCATATAAAAATGACTCACAATGAATGTTTGCAGCTCACATACAAGCAACACATTTACGATAGATCAACGTACAACACTTGGAAGATTGATGACAAAATCCAATGTATTCAAATACTACAGGTAGCATAACTTGAGTAATGAGAAGGGTTAACTTATAGAGTGAAATGTGAAGTAAAATTAACGGAAACATCAAGTAGAAAGAAGAAAAACTGGTCGTATGCACACTCTTGTATCATTATGCTCATTCACTAGTGTTTATTGTAGCATAACGGTAAGGACATCAATTATGGAAGCAATAATCTAAAAAAAAGATTCTTAGGTGGTTCACTATTGGATGTTTCAATGAACGAAGAAGAAGAGGTATGTGTTGAATTGAACTGGAAGCAGCAAATGATGAAGGAATAATGAATGGATGAAAGAATAAACTGAATAGAGATCAAGAATATTTGTTAATAATTCTATCTAACTGCATAGATGGACTCAGATTAAGCCGACGACGATTTTGAAATGTGAAATAGTACGAATAGAATTGTAAATACTATGGCTTACATTATAAGAATCGGCGTAAATTGAATAAGGTGAAGATGCTGTCGTCCAAAGTTAAACGAATCTATCAGATTATAAGTAAGTCTAAATTATCCTTGCACTGCTCAACAAAGATATCAGTCGTGAATTTTTAAAGAGCAATCGTTGTTTTTCCACATTCAAGATTCCGAATCTGAATAACTCGAACGATTTGAAGAGGAGAAATTGATTGAATAAGAAAATGAAACAATGATCATTTCGACATATAGATAGTTGATGAAACTGAAGGAAATTTATGTTGCATGTGGACGGATGGTTGATAGAATAAATAAATATGTAACAATGCAGATTCGGATGAAACATGAAAGCAAACCAACAAATACATTTCTACTTGTTTCCTTTGTGTTCTGTTCTAAAGTTTGCTTTGTTTCAAGGAAAAGCAGATGAAGAACAGAAGATCGACTCATGAAGACGACTTGGTTGACCAACATAGTGACAAGGCAGAATCGGGTAATATCGGATCAAGAAGCATGCATCAAGATGATCTGAGTTCTGAAAAGAACTACAGTTTACTTGCTGATACCATGGAAGGTTATTTGAAGAAATGGCTATTGATGAGAATGATGTTGTGAAATTATCACGCATAATGTATTACACATACACAAATGCACACACACAGAAAATGTGCATGAAACATTAAGAAATTATGCTTCTCACATAATATGTAGCTAGATCTATCATATGTGGAGGATATAAAAGTTTGCAACTGAAAATCGCATATTCTAGTCGCGTCACAATGCAAAATTCATCATTTCGTACTCAGTCACTCGTTCACAAGTCTACGTTGTCCACAAGGCAGAGTAAGTAGCAGTAATGCCATTTATCAGTCGGATTCAGTGAAAACAGAACTGAATTAAAGAAAGTGAACAACTTCAGCAACACCCTCAGCTCACTAGCAGTAACGGCAGCAGTGAACTTTAACAGAATATCCACGGAAACTTTGCTTGTTTGCTTGCTTTTCAATTCAATTTTTTCTATATGTGTGTACGTTATGTTACTTCACTAGTTTTGAAATGAATTCATTGAATTTTTACACATACGTTACGTCATATGCATATTGCACTAAATGAATGCATATGCAAGTATTATACTTACGTAGTAGTATGCTGAGAAACGCTCACATTTGTGATTCTCAGTGAAATGGCACAAGTGAATACATTTATTACTGTGATCTCATTTCATTTCATTTCATTTCTCATTTCAGGCAAATACGAAAGCATCTCATCTCTCTGCTCAAAAACCAATATTCACCAATCCTAGATTCTTACCAACAAACACAAACAGACAAGCAAACTCACCGAAAAAATTCACAATAAAAATTATTGAATAATTCTGGTTTTTAAATTTTTTGGTAGTAATGGTTGCAGATAAATTTGATTGATCATTCGTGTTGTTACAAGCAACCCTATTTTCTCTGACAATGAGTCTAAATTTTGAACCGAATATTAGGCAAATAGGCAAAAGTTCGAGCTGTTCCACGTGTGAGAAAACAACCGCAAATTCTACTTTGCGATCATTTCCTCGAAATTATTGCGCAATTTGATGGAAAAGAATGTTTCTCAACATACAACTTGATTTATGAGCATTCATAGTGATTGCTGCCACTGTTGAGCAAGAGGTCAATAAAACAAAAGCAAGCGAATATGTGTATTCACATGAACATTACGGCAGCTCAAATACTGAAGCATCGAGATCAGCGTTCTATAATTATTGCGATATAGTCTTCGACATAATACAGTCAATAGCCCAATGAGCGTAGACTTCCGTCAGCCATATTGGCGAATCGAATGAGGTGTTTCAAGTGAGACGAATGATGAACTGCGAGATCTGCTCTACTATCGATAGCATATCGTATGCAGAGAGCAAGTTTCATAAGAAAACAATTAGAAACAAACATTTACGTATGCTGTCGTCAGAATACCCTTGAAGTATCATCATAGACAAGCAATATTTCACATAAAAATTTCGAGTTGTGTTGGTGAATGCTCAAAATTTAATTCGGAAAATCCCTAACCGTATGCAAAGGTATGGATCCAGTAGATTGCCAAATACCGAATGGATGTAGAAATTATTGGGGAATTGATCGTCGAATCACCAAAAATAGTAGTTGTAATCGGCGAATCACCGGAATTTTTGACGAATCGCCGATACTCGGGGACTCCGCGCCGACTTCTATGCGCATCGATCCATGAAAATCAGTTTTGCAAACGCCGATTGGCCGACCAAATGCATTCCGGTAGGTATCTGAAGTTTCCGAGGGATTCACCGGTAAACCAAAAATTTCATTTCGGCGGTTCGCCGATTGCACCACTTTACGGCAGTTCGCCAATCACCGAAGTTTTGGCGATTTATTTGCGGATCCAAGTGCCGAATTCGCCATTCAGCTGTTTATCGTTGGCAATATTAATGATAAGTTATTTAAAAGAGATGTTCATTTGTATGTGTTTGCATACATTTGTGTGTTTGTTTATGAGTATTTGTTGTGTGTGTAATGGATAAATCAAATGCACATTCAACTTATGAAGATTTTGTGCACACCACTACAAAATATAACAAATGAGATAAGATAGCAGCTGTTGTTCAAAACGAGCCCAGCAACGGCACGGCAGCAGCAGCAGCAGCATCAGCAACCGAGATCAACACCAATGTGGCAGGATCACTAACGAACTACTAGCATAACCTGGCCAAGCTAGACCAGACAAATGATACACTTTAGAAAATCATATACAAGTAAGTTGTTCAGCTTGCTTACCAATCTGCGCATCTGCCTACCTTCATTTGACCAGTGCCAAAGAACAATGGACGGTAGTGGCTAAGTTTGAGACCGAAACTAGGAAGTCTGAGATCAAAAAGTAATTGTCAAGAGAAGGAAGATGTAGAAAAGTTGTAGACTGTTCTTATTAACCATTTATCTTTTCTTATATTTATTCAATCGTTCATTCACTTTCAAAGCAATGTAAATCAGCACAATCGATATCATCATCACACTCTTCCATACAAATCCATTCACCTCTCGTCTGAAGCATCACCAAAGCATCCTTACAACTATATACTAGTCGTGATTCTTCTCACTCGTGCAGTTAACATTTCCTTATATCAAAACGCCGATCAATCTGTTCAATTTGTAAAATTAATTTTTCTTTCTTTCAATTTTCCTTAGTTTGGCTCTGAGATTTTGAAAAGTACCCAGAACGAGAACGAAGTATTCATAGTTAGAATGATGTTTCGCATAAATGCTGTGACTTTTCGCATTTGAGCGCGTGTGCTGAACGTTTATGGACAGTTGAAGGAATGACCATACTAGAAGCATTCAGTAAATTGAATTCAGGTGAATATTTTGTGGGTGTGTGTGTGTGTGTGTGGATGTGTTTATGAATTCAAACGATATGCAGTTGCAATTATCTAATGAGGAGCCATACGTATTCTCATGGAAATTGTCATTATTCTTACTTATATTTTGTACATTCATTCACACAACACACGCACTCATTCATCGTACCAGTGCCAGTGGTTCAACACCATTATCCTCATCGGCATCATTGCAACCACTGGAATTACGCGCAACAAAGGGACGATTCTTCATTCATACACTTCATTCGGCCACTTTTTTCGCATCCACAGGTTATCATTTCGTTATCATTGATGATGTCGGTTACCGATAATCAAACAATCCATATTGTTACGCTACCATGTATAACTAACTTCTTGTTTTTGGATGAATTACATTATGATATCAGCTGGAGAAAATATTTTATTGGGTGATTTAATGAACGTACAAATAGTCATATACATGAATGGTCCAAACCAAAGCCACACAGCATGAGTATCTGCTACGGGCAGTTGACTGATCAACGATCTAATCAAGATCATTACTTCAAAACATAACATCAATATTTTCAATCAAATTGAGGAGTTGTTTATGCAAAAACAAACCAGTTTCCATCTGTTAAACAAAATCTTATTGTGAAGATTGACTTTTTCCGGGATTATATTATGTAATGATTTGAATGAATTCACGAAAACTTCTTTCGATTGCTTCAAAGCCATTCGAACATGAGTGAATTCTGACTAATTGTAAGTGATTAGAAATTATGAACATTCGAAATGCAGTTGACGTCAAATGGTCGGCCACTGTCAAAGGACGTCCCAGTTTACCGTTGTGGTTGCATTTGATGCCGTCACGTCACAAGGTGATCGCATATTTGTATGGAACACCAGTTACTCCACTTATGCAAATCGTCATTCATGTGATCGCGCGTCGTCGAGACAACTTCGAGACCGCCCAACAGTTTATAACCATTTTTTTCAATAGTGATGGTAGCAACTTTTATCATTTGAATAATTGTTCTCATGTTTTTTATGAAGATGGAATTGTCATGCTGAGTCAAAGGCATGCAATCTTGCAAGTGATATACCACTACTCTAGTGATTTTGAAAAATATCCCTCTTTGTTGTGCCAGTAATTGGCTTTTTAAGCCCATCATATCGTCATATGTCAACGAATAATTTATGTTACTGTTGTTGCTATTGTTTCAGCACGTTATAATTCCTCAACGCAACAAGTGGTAGAATTGCGTGTGAAGAATATGGACCCCGAAGAATTTATTCATGACCGCAGTGGCTTACTTGAGAAGATGCAAAACTCGCTGAGAGAATCCTTCCGCGGTCGGGGAATACATCCGTATATTTTCAATTTGATTCCGGCTGTAAACGCCCCACCAGAAAAGACTGCATACTTCATTCGCGATCATAAATTTGGGTTGGTATAGCAACAATCATTTCCGTCAACATAACAGAAATGACTTGGTTCAAATCTTTCCCAAAGACCATAAAACCGAGTTTTCCAATCAATTCATTTATTCATCAGTGAATTATTTTTGGCCCCGTCACATGTCACACTAAAACAAAAAATAATGAGAATTATGGAATGAGTTCGCAAATGTGAGTTCGTGTAGCCAATAGATCATATTAAATCTCGCAGAACAATCATACAAGCTGGCACTCAAAAACGTTACCATACGAATGTGCTGAATCTGGAGCGTGGCCTTCAAACAAATCCACAGTATTGCACACGAAATCCGCTCGTTCCACTCGATCGATATTTTGCACCAACATTTCAAATTGATTGGTGCAATTTTCATGTGGTAAGTGGTGTCGTTACTATCTTTGTCTGATTCGAATTGAACTGAGTTGGAAAATTGGAATGAATTGAGAGGAATGTAACAATGATGCATACGAGCCAAGAACGAGACGTTCCGCGTGCTCGTCTTCTGGCTGCTGTTTTAAACGAAGACGATGTACAGCAAACGCAGCTGTCGTCGTCCGTTCCAACCACCGAATCAACGTCGATCACTGAAGCGGCAGGTGCGAATTCTATTCGTACAAGATATTACTTCTGGGAGTCTTTCTTGGTACGTTTCATCATCATTCATATTATTATCACTGTTATTGTTTTGTCTATTTGATCATTTTTCAGCGCTTGATTTGTAATTGTTATGATCGGTTTGCATAGAATGAAAAATTTTGGAAACGAATACGAACTGAATTGTTTTTGTGCAAAGACAGATCTGTTTCAATTGCGAAAATCGTGACAGTTTCGTTTCAAAATGCGATTCGTCAGGTGTTTAAAATGAACTGATTGATATTATGTATTGTAGATGTTCCCGATGTTGGGTGTTTGTTGTATATTACTCTTGATATTGCTGAGCGTGATCTTTTTCGGAAGACGCGAAGGACAACATTGGAGAGACTACAAAACACCGAAGTAAGTGAGTGAGTAATGTGAAGGGACGAGGCTAATGTATTGATGCTCTGTTTTACCGAATTGATTCAATATTTCTATTTCAAGCAAACGAGATCCAACTTTATCACGAGCTATCTTTCGAATTACAATGTCTACTAAAATCAGTAGCGTTATTATCTTGTTCAAATATTCGCTAACTATGCTGTTGAATAGTTTTCATTACATGTGTGCATTTTAGAGAGCAATTAGAAGAATATATGAGTGTTCGAGAAAGTCAACGTCATCTGAGGGAATTATCTGTGCAAAGACAAATATTGCAGATGGCCTCCGATCAGTCGTCCTTGACACCAGTTGGTAAGTTATGAGCTTTTATCAGGTGTTTAACTGGTCTGGACCAATCAGTTGAATTCCTTTTCGTACCATCCATTAGACAACGAACGGCTATCGTAAGAATGAAATTATTGCAGCATACACCTAATAAATGCTCTGATTATTAACATCACATTCAATGGTGATGTGTTTGTAATGAGTATAATTCGGAAGTGCTCACCCATACATGGGACGAGACTGATGACATATCTAAAACATTAAACCGCAATCAAATTAAGATCTAACATTGTAGTGCAGTATTTTCTTGAATCATTGAGTCAGCAAAGCTGGTGATGTTATTTGAGCTATTAATACTGCTTCTTGATTAGATATCTTTGATTGAACAGCAGGGAGTCATCTATGTTTTTACACTTGTGCTTACGGTTAGACTTAATGCGTGCGATATATTTGAAGGTATTCACACATTTTTACAACCACGATCGTCCGATCAAAATCTATCATCGCAACCGAATAAGAGCAATATCAGTAACTTACCAACGACCGCATCAAGTGAATATGTTCATCACAGTTCGCGTTCACCAATTTTGAAAGAGAGGCAATTGGGTATGAATTCAGCTCTTTTCTTATTCACTTCAACTTGCTCATAAAATAGGAACACTGGAAGCATTTGTTTGAGTCATTTCATTGAGTGCTCATATTACTTTATCGGAAAACTTCATAATTTTGCTACATGGAAGGGTGACAGACAATTCATTCAACGTGTTCTTATCACTTATAGTGAGAAATATCGTTTTCAATAAATGCAGTCTTGTGTTTGTGTCAACGACTGATACGTGTTGATAGGCGGAAGTGTGGCTCCTAAGCAATCCTTAACAATGCTCGATAATGCGCACAACATACCGATTGGTAAGCAGACAGTGGCTGAGGCAGCCAAAGCCTGTGGATCATCGTTACACCTCTATCGAAATCCATTCGAGGACGAGCCGAGCGAAGAGGACGACGATGACGACGAAGAGGAGGATGGCGAGATTAATGAGGAGACATGCTTGAATAATACTGATAATTATCGTCATTACAGTTAATAATAGACCTGATAAAGCGTACGGTCGGTTGTCAACATCACCATTTCTAGTTGATACCGCTGAGCTATTCGTTCTGTTTTGAACACGTCCTTTTGAATCCATCAAGTTATACTTTCCAGCTATTTACCGTGATCAAAATGAGTATCTAGCATGAACGAATAAAATAAAGATCAATTATATTCCCTTGATATCATCACGTCGAAAATAAAACTTTCTTTGTCTGTTCCGAATGAAAAGTAATGATGAATTTATCAATAGCAATGGTACTGGATGACGAAGTGAAATCGAAGTCGCTCAATTTTTTAAATGCATGGCATGAATCACATGAAACAGTGACTGCCCGTCTCGTCTGACATCAACCTCCTTACTTTATTACATTGTACATACGTATTATGCAGTATTATACGATAAAAGTTGCACCGATACAAGACTGAGGGGAAATGTTGCAACGCATCATATGATAAGTGATTAGCTGGAGATGAGAATGAAGTTCAAACAATAATTAGTCAGATAATTTAGCACCAAATTTTTAGTGTTTGATTGATTAGTTTGCTCGAAGCTTTCAGAAGGAATTTTATCACAGGTGGTGACTTTCTTTTGAAGAGCACGTTAGGATATTGTTGTTCGACATTAATCACAGTCTGCCATACCGAGTTTGGTGTTGATGCAAAAGCCAAAATTCACAAACTGCCTATAAGATAAGTCGCTGATAAGGGCGATGACAGAAAAGTTGTTTTTTGAGAAGAGTTGCTTTATAAGAAGTTGGAGAGTAGGATGAATCTGAGTGCGATTTACTAAGCTAGTAATATATATTAAACTAGCAGTTACAGTTTAAAAGAAGTCTTGCATGAATTGTTGAATCACCAAGAACTATGGCATTAGCAAATTTTCATAAATGGTGCCATCCTCTTTCGGATTGATTAGTAATATTCTAGGCTAAGCTTTTAGGATTTTGCTAGCACTTTCGTTCATTTTATGATCGTAAAGTGGTTAAGTTCAAAAATATGGAGATATCATTAATTTAACATTCAAAGTCAACGAACCGGTCGTATTTGACGTCAATGCAATTACTCCAGTGCTTTGATCGATCTTATAAGCAGATGGTGCCACTGATCTTCTCAATGACCACACGTTACAAATCAGTAACAACAAAAGTGCTAGCAGCAAAGTGAAAACCACACAAAAAAGTAACGCGAAAAGTGCGCTTTCACGATTCGGCCGCGTAGAAATTAAAGATATTGAGCATCTCAATTGTATCAGTCGCCTTT